AGAAGAAATGGGAACAACCCTCGTAGTAAAAGAGTTGGAAAAGCAGTACTGCAATACAATCTCAACAAAATTGATAGAATGCTTTTGATTCGAATCCAAGGCAAACCATTCAATATCACCGTAATCAAATCTGTGCCCCAAGCACCGATGCTGAAGAGGTGAAGTTGACCTGTTTTATGATGACCTATACCCTCTAAAATTTACACACACCCATAACCCTAACCCTGACTTCTCTTCAAGGGACACATACTGAAGATGAAGCTCAAATACTTTGGCCACCAAATGAGAAGAGAGAGCTCACTGTAAAAGATCCTGATGATGGGGAAAGATTGAAGACCAAAGGAGAAGTGGACAGCAGAGAATGAGATGATTAGATGCAGAGGTGGGTTTCACATAATTTTACCACCGGTTTGCCGCACACCGAAAATGTGAGCACGCGCATGTGTGCGGCCTTCCGCGCATGTGCTTTGCTTGCACACGGGCTTGCACGCACGTGCGTGGCTCAGAAAATGTGGCTAAATAGGATGGCATAGCACCGAGGCAGGCAGGTGGGCCCACCTGCAGGTTGCCACTACCGATTCACCCAAACCGGTCCAAACCGGTTGAATACCACCACTGGTTAGACAGTGTCATCGACACCATGAACATGAATTTGGGAAAACTCCAGGAGACGGTGGAGGACAGAGAGGCCTGGCGTGCTGTGGTCCATGGGGTTGTGAAGAGTCAGACATGACTTGGAGACTGAACAACGACAACAACATTTCAGGCTGTCAACTATGAAGTGCAGGAGTTGGTTTAGAAACCTGTGGTGGTCTTTGTTCTTACATCTCTCAGTTGCTTAACCTTTAACAACAAGTCAAATGATGGGAAATATTTGCAACTCCAAGCAAGTTGCTTAAGGTGATTTGCATCACCTAAATTAATTCAACATGTACAAAGTTCAATCTATTTGAATAATAAAGAAATATTAAGGGATCAATTCTAGTAAGACAGTCACACATGCGGGATCATCAAACTGCACAATTCCTCAATCATATACAAGCTGATGCCATCTCCACTTGTTAGTGGGCCTTCTTCACTTGTCTTTCCTTTTGCAGCAAATCCTTAGTTTCAGGGCATTTCTTGGCACTGGTCTGAAAATGTGACCACTGCATTTCTCAGAAAACATTGGCAATCTGGTAAATAAAGCATCCAGTGGCAGAAATCATTCTAGAAACCTACCAAGCCTCCTTATGGAGAGATGGGATAAGTAGGAACACCTCTCATGCCTTGCTGCTACAAGAGTTAGGAAATACGCAGTGCCTTGAGGACAGAAATAATTCTTGTCTAGTTATTTAGGGATGACATGATAGCAGTGTTGCAATATCTCAGGGGCTGCCACAAAGAAGAAGCAGTCAAGCTATTCTCCAAAGCACCTGACGGCAGGACAAGAAGCAATGTGTGGAAATTAACCAAGGAGAGAAGCAACTTAGAACTGAGGAGAAATTTCCTGACAGTTAGAACAATTAATCAGTGGAACAGAAGTTGCCTCCAGAAATTGTGAATGCTCCAACACTGAAAGTTTTTAAGAAGCAGTTGGATAACCATTTGTCTGAAGTGGACTAGAAGACCTCTAAGGTCCCTTTCAATTCTATTATTCTATTCTATTCTATTTCAGGATCCTTGCAAGGAATGGAGAAGTAAGATAATCTGAACAGGCTGTTTCAGCAGGAAGGCAGGACTGCTGCCCGACAAGGAGCAGCATTAACATTCTGATGTTCACTTTTTAAGGAGGAATCTTGGAGTTCAAGGCAAGATTGTCTCTGTGAAAATAATTTTACATTCTTTTTACATTCTTTCTTGGAGCTACCCAAAGTATACAATGTATGTATGTGTGTAATTCTAGTTCTGTGTTCCTTTTCCATCAGCTATTCTGTGGAAAAATGGTCAGCGTTTTCAGAAAAAGGCTGATAAGGATGGAAAAAAATATTTCCAGGGGGGGGGGGGGGAAACCTAGCAATAATCTGCTAAACGGAACGGATTTTCCGAGAGTTGTTAAAATTGCTCTTATAGAAATGGCGGCGCCTAATGGAATTTTGTAACAACTAACCGTCAGCTATGTTCCTTCTTCAGGTGATATTCCTTGTCTTGGTCAAGTTATTTCAGAATGCACAAAGCTTGCCCCCAATCCTGAACCTTAACCAAGGAATCCCCATCGTCCTCTTCACAAGAACATCAGTAGGTTCCTGAGGGATTATTAATAAGTATTAAGATTAGCCAGGAGGCAAAAGGTTAGTTTACATGAACAAATGAGATAATGGCCTGATTGGACAGGTAGCAGCTGTTTTATTGCTTTCGCTTATTACAAGTGTTTCCATTTTTCTTCAATTTTTTTTCTCTCCAATTGGGGCCCAGGAGAAGAGATGCTCTTCTCCCAATGCCCCATCTACACAGGTAAGAGAGGCCACTTTGGTGTGCTCAGAAACTGAAATGTGAGGTTGCTACTTTTCCACCCATTAAAACGATACTTTCCCATTTCAAATTATAGCTTTTCTCTCCTCTGTCTCCCCAAGGGGGAAAATCATGAGGACAAAGTGATTAAGACAATCCACATCTGGCCTATTGTGACAATATTCACTGGAGAACATTTTGGGAAAAAGTCACATTCTTGTTCTGATCCATACGAGGTGGCTCAAATGAGATTTCATGAGTGGGGAAGAAAAATAAGTTGGTGTTGTAGTATATTTTCATCCTAGGTTGGATTTCCATGGTTTCCCCTCAAATTCTCTCTTCTTTCAGGACGGATGTCTTGGGCTTCCAAGATATCATTTAAGTAACATGGCCTCACCTTGATTTCTGGATACCTTCACTTGCCATAAGGGAGATTCGAATAACCCATCTCCTTCGACTCATTCTCCTCATCGTTCAACAACTTCCCATTGTGCTTTTCAGATAAAGCTGTTACTTCTGGGCTGTAATGTTACCTCTTCCATCTTGAGGCACGTCAAAATATTCTCTTTTCTGGAAAAAAAGAAAAGAAAAGAAAACACATTGTAAGTAATCGTTTGTGTCCTGGATGCTTAAAATGTCTCATTTTCCCCCGTGAAATGCTACTGGTTTGCCTGAACTGGTAGTAAAAAAAAAAGTAAAAAAAAAGCCACAACAATTACGCGGAATGGGTGATTGTCACACAGCTGATCTTTGGAACTTTTTTAAAGCATTTTTTTTTACTACCAGTTCGCCCGACCCAGTAGTAAAAAAAAATGCTTTAAAAAGTGAAAAAAAAGTTCCAACGATCAGCTGTGTGGCAATCACCTGTGCCGGTGATTTATATTCACTGGAAAGCAGGAAGTCCTGCTTTCTGGCGAATCGAAATCGCGCGGCACAGCTGTTCCCTCCCCTTGCTGTTCTACTTACCTTTGCAGAGTCAGAAAAGGCTTCTTAGCGACTGTGGTGCACATGCGCGCAAAGCGCCTGCACAGCAAACCCGTAGTGGACTTTAGAACATTTCACCCCTGCCCTTGATTTGTGACTCCGATTTGCCACCAACAATAACAGTAACTACCGATGTGAATATTCCCTGTTTGCTCATTCCCAATAAAAATACTACAGTTGCATATTTATTTGCTTCCTTTCTTCGCTTGGGAACAAGCCCCGTTGAATTTCAGTTTGTCATTCTTCTGAGTAGATTGGATAGGACAGAATTTAAGTTTGAGCTGTTCTTTTTAATCTACCTGAGCCCATTTTATCACTCTCCTAGCTTCCTAACAGTATTAAAACACTGGAAGGGAAGCTAACAAACACAGCCCCCACCAGCTACTAGGAAGGGCCCATTGATACTCCAGGCCCAAGGATTGTAATCTGGAAACCTTGAGGGAAAGTCTGGAAGAGATTAGACTGGAAAAATCCATCCATCCATCCATCCATCCATCCATCCATCCATCCATCCATCCATCCATCCATCCATCCATCCAATTTCCATATTATAATTTTCCAAAGCTACATAGATGTATCTTTGAAGTTACCAAAAGTCTTCACTTGATGATTAACCAACCAGTTAACTATTTTATACGTCCATCTGTTTTTTCTCTGGAAGGGCATCTTCAAGTAAAAATCTGCATACTGTAGAAGGATATATCTAGCCTAATGAACAGAAGGGAGAGTTTCAGTTTCAGTTTCATTGAGTTTGCATGCCGCCCTATTCCCGAGAGACTCAGGGCGGCTGAGAGGGGTGACATGATAGCAGTGTTCCAATATTTGAGGAGCTTCCACAAAGAAGAGTGGGGGGGGGGATTCAACTTATTCTCCAAAGCACCTAAAAGCAGGGCAAGAAGCAATGGGTGAAAACTAATAAGGAGAGAACCAGCCTACAAATAAGGAGAAATTTCCTGACAGGACAATGGATCAGTGGAAGGGCTTGCATTCAGAAGTTGTAGGTGCTCCATCATTGGAGGTTTTAAAGAAGAGATTGCACAGCCGTTTGTCTGAAATGATATAAGATCTCCTCTTTGAGCTGGAAGTTGAACTAGAACAGTGTTTCTCAACCTTGGTGACTTGAAGTCCACTAGTCCACAGGACTTCAAGTCACCAAGGTTGAGAAACACTGAACTAGAAGATCTCCAAGCCCTTCCAACTGTTATTCTTTTAAGTATCTGTTCAGCGACTAAAATTTAACCATTTTTTGCCATAGGTGTTAAGCGAATCACTGCATTTGTTAAGTTGTACCATGCAGTCATTAAGCAAATCTCCATTGGTTTTACTTGTTGGAAGTCAGCTGGGAAGGTCGCAAATGGACATCACATGACCCCGGGATGTTGTAATCTGTCACAAATACATGCCAGTTGCCAAGTGCCCAAATTTTAATCATGTGACTATGAGGATGCTGTGGCAGTTGTGTGAGTGTTAGTCATAAGTACTTTTTTCAGTCTTTTGTAACCTTGCATGGTTACTAAATGAATGGTTGTAAGTAATGCTTGTAATACTCCAAGGAATTAGAAATAACTGCTTTCCTTGAGGGCTACTTCATCTGGTAAACATGGTACCAGTGGGGAAAGGCTCTAGGGCAAGAATAGAATAGAATAGAATTCTTTATTGGCCAAGTGTGACACAGAAGGAATTTGTCTTTGGTGCAGATGCTCTCAGTGTACATAAAAGAAAAGATACATTCATCATGAATCATAAGGTACAACATTTAATGATAGTCATAGGTAGTGGTGGGTTGCAGGTAGTATGCCCCTGTACGGGCGTACCGGAACCTGCCCGGAGCACCGGGTACCGTTCCGGTGCTCTGGAGGGCCCACCCATCCACCCGAGCTCCTTACCTCTGCTTTAAGCCTTTGGCGTTTCTGCGCACGTGCATGGCGCGTACGGCACCTGCGCGACGCTCTGCCGAGCATCTGGAGCATCGCGGAGGCTTGCGGAAGTGGCACAGGCAAGTACGACAGATACACGGGCTCCATGTGTGTGTGCACGCACACCGTGCGCGTCCATGTGGGTGACGCCGGGGCCGTTCCAACCGTACTGGTTGGAACGGAATCCGGAACCCACCACTGGTCATAGGGTACAAATAAGCAATCAAATCATACCAGGAAACAATCAATATAAATCGTAAGGCTGCAAGCAACAAAGTTACAGTCATAAGTGAGAGGAGATGGGCAATAGGAACGATGAGAAGATTAATATTAGTGCAGACTTAGTAAATAGTTTGAGGGAATTATTTGTTTAACAGAGTGATGGCATTCGGGAAAAAACTGTCCTTGTCTCTAGTTCTGGTGTGCAGTGCCCTATAGTGTTATTTTGAGAGTAGAAGTTGAAACAGGCTGTGAGGGGTCTGTAAATATTTTCACAAGCCTCTTTTTGACTTATGCAGTATACAGATCCTCAATGGAAGGCAGGTTGGTAGTAATTGTTTTTCTCTGCACTTCTAATTTGGCTAGACTTTTCCTAAAATGATATTAATCCTGGGTCTTGAATTTGCAGGACAAAATATATGTTCTTCCACAAAAACAGTGATATAGCCCAGAAGTATTTGTTAGATTGAGTTAGACTGAGGCTGTCGTCCCTTTATGCCACCAAATTTGGCACTCTGCTTAATTAAAAAGTGCATATTACAAAATGAATACCAACTGACCTCAAATTATCTTCTCATCTGAATGCAGAAAGAAATATTGTTTTAGCATTTTTAGTAACGTTATGCCAAATATGAAGTGCACTCTGCGAAACTAATTAAACCAGAGCATTTTTTTAAAAAAGAGCAGTGGCTTTAAGACCTAGGTTGTTTTGTGTGAAAAATGGATGGATAAGAAGAGGAGTGCTTATTAATATATCAAACTGAGGCTTAAATGTTAATCAAGAGATTTGCTTTGAAGGGAAGGCTGTGACAATTACTTCATCTATTTCCTTTCCTAACTATATGGAAAGGCAAGGTCTTTTGTGAACTGCAGCTCAATTTATTGGATACATAAATAGGTGATGGTGAATCTATGACATGCCATTTTTGCTGAAATGCAGGGTCTCCAAAAATTGCAAGAACGCTTGCATGATTTTGGGAAGCTCCAGAGCAGGACTTTCTTACACAACATGCAGAGTATCCAGAGTCTTCTCAGAACCCTCTGAAAGTCATTCAAGAGAATCGTGCTCTTGCAGAACACGTGCTCTGGAGCCTCAAAAAATTGCACGAAAACACGGGGCATCTTGTGTGACTTCCATAGAATCCCAAGAAGAGAGTCTAGAGATGCCACTTTTGTCTGATATGTGGTGTTTGTATGTGCGTGCATGTGTATGTATGAGAGAGACAGGTAGAAAAAAGGTAGGCATTTTCTGAATTTTTGACATCCTGAGCTTAGTCTTTTGACTCACCATCACTGGTCTAGATGCTCTCTGCCTATACAAAGGCAAAGTATTTCCAAATGCATTATTTTATTTATGAGTATTTTCACAGTACTTTCAAATGCAAAGTAGGAGATGCAGGAAGCATATGCATGGTCAGCCATAAAGAGCTTAAATGCCAATATGGTAATAATCAAAGTTTAGGGAACCAACAAGGTGAATTCAAAGTATTAGTACCAGGCCAGGGGCTGCTCTGAAGGGAATGAATCTACTGTGTACTGAATTATTATAGGCTACCTCAGTGAAAGGTAAGAGCTCAGCTCAGTTGTTCTGCTGGTAATTCATGTAACACTGGAGATATTGCTTTACTATGCCATTCATACATTCACAGCCTCCATTCGTCTAGGGGTGATGTGAGGAGCTTAGGGAAGCCTGTGGATGCTCTTAGGCTCTGGGAGATGCCTAAATTCTTCAGAAAGTTTTGCCAAAATGTCAATACAAATTGGATGCCACAATCAGAAATTATGCACTCAAGTGCTCTGTGCAATCGATACATGTTTCACAAATATTTTTGCTAGAGTTCATGCAGACATAATCTTGAGCCAAACCACAAAGTGGGCCTGCTTGGAGACCAGATCCGTAATAACCCAATCCTGGTATTTCCTGAGCTTTCTGGTAACTCCACAATAAAGACCATGGAGTGGTAGGACTGGGGACAGATTGTACCAGTCCTGGAGTTTTCCCAGGACATCTTTTGGCTGAGGCACAGACTGGGCAGCTGGCCACATATGTTTCAATGTCCTTTTTCATGGGTGGCCATCAAAACTGGCGTCTCACCAGGTGGAGAGTTTTAACAAACCCAAAATGCCCCATGGTCTTGGTGTCATGCCTGTGTTGTAGAACTAGGGTCCAATGGTTTACAGGCACATATAATCTATCTCTCATCCATGCCAAATTGTCTCTTAGTGAAAGTTCCTCCTTATGCCATTGGAACCACTCACCCTTTATCAGATCCCCCTTCAGTGCTTGGACTACTTCACCAGCTATTCACCATCACCATTTAAGGCTTTTTGCTGCCTTGTGAGGGCAGCCGAGGCTATTTGTTTGGAAGGGATGGCGGAGTTGACAACTTCCTCTTTGGCACTGCTATACTGGGGCATCTTGGACAGTGCATCTGCCAGGAAATTCCTCTC